GAGCTCCTTTTTCTCGGGCATGTCATTAGTGCAAAAGGCGTCCGCCCAGACCCTGCAAAACTGAGGCCGTAGCGAAATTTCTTAAGCCAACAAACAAAAAGGCTGTTAGGCGACTTTTAGGACTCTGCGCCGACGGTTCTTTTATCGACGGTTCGTTAAAAATTTTTCACGAATCGCTGAACCACTGACACAACTGACAAAAGAGGAAATGCCTTTCGTATGACTTGCCGAACAAGGGGATGCCTTCAATGAACTGCAAAAGTGTCTTCAAAGCCATCCTGGTCTGGCACATTTTGACAAGGAAGCAGAAACCGATATCCACATGGATGTAAGCAATTCAGGGCTTGGGGCCGTGCTCATCCAATGGCAAAACAGACAAGAACTAGTCATTGTGTATGCCAGTCGCACTCTTTCAAAAGCTGAGGTGAACTACTCAGCGACCGAGAAAGAATGCCTTGCCTTGGTGTGGGCTATGAGCAAGTTTCAACCATATGTATATGGTAGACCTTTTCGAGCTATAAGCGACCATCATTCGCTATGCTGGCTGGCTAATCTCAAGGACCTATGCGGACGGCTTGCACGATGGAGCCTGCGATTACAGGAGTATGATATCACGCTTGTGTATAAGTCAGGTCGCAAGCACAGTGATGCGGACTGCTTGTCACGTGCTCCGATTCAACCTGCTGCTTCTGCTTCCACCGAGGACAGTGAAGATCTTGTTTTCTTGGAAGCTTTGACACCGTCAGCGATGGCACATCATCAGCGATCCGACCCTGAGATACTCCTCTTAATACCTACAAAAACAGTCTGTCGATGTTCCACGACCTTTTGTCCGTGGCTTATCAGCGTTCGTCCTATGAAACAACATCCTGTATAAAAAGAACTTTGACAACAATACAGCGACATTCCTGCTTGTCGTCTCTTCACTTCTGAGACCAGAGATTTTGGAGGCTTGCCACGACGATCCATCAGCTGGACATTTAGGAGTAAGCAGAAGGTTAGCACGCATCCGCACCAAATACTACTGGCCGAAGTTGCTTAGCTCTGTACGACACTATGTCAGAACCTGCCGGGACTGCCAAAGTCATAAAACCCCTCCGCTAAAACCAGCAGGTCTCCTGCAACTGGTAGAACCATCAGAGGCCCCATTCACACAAGTAGGAATGGACTTACTGGGCCCATTTCCTACGTCGTCATCGGGAAAGCGTTGGATCATAGTTGCGACGGACTATTTAACCCGATATGCCGAGACCGACTCTTGTTAAGGGATCAGCCGTTGAAGTAGACGAATTTTTCGTCTCCAACATCATACTGCGGCATGAAGCTCCAAGAGCGTTGATTATGGACCGAGGAACTGCATTTACAGCCGACCTGATAAAATGTATTATGAAATTGACGCACACCAGTCATAGGAAAACGATGGCATATCATCCTCAAGCGAATGTTTTTAGCAAACGACTGAACAGAATGCTGGCTGATATGTTGTCGATGTACGTTGATATAGAACACCGTACTTGGGATAAAATATTATTCTATGCAACATTTGCCTACAACACTGCAACGCAAGAGACAACACGGATGACGCCGTTCCAACTTGTTTTTGGCCGGACGGTAACAACACCTTTAGATGCAATGCTACCTATTGACGAGACGCCCGAGAACGACTATGACGTTCACGAGTACATACAAAGAGCAGAAGAAGCCGGACTGCTGGCACGATATTGCATTCTCCAACAGCAGAAAACCGACACGCACTGATACAAACTGCGAAGAAGGGACGTCCAGTACACACCAGGAGACAGAGTATGGGTGTGGATTCCTGTACGAATACGTGGCCTGTCAAAAAAACTGCTTCGCCCCTGTTTCGGTCCGTACAGAGTGCTCCGCCGCGTTAGCTCGCTCATTTACGAAGTTATGCCAGAGGGACAGGATATTTTGACCCGACGGCAGCATGGCACGGAAAGTGTGCATGTCGTTAGGATGAAACCGTATCACGACAGGCAATGAAACGCCGAGGACACAACGTTGTTTGACGTTAACGACATCGACGACGAGGTGTTGTGAATGACTGCCATGCAACCAGTTTGACACAAGCATCGGGACGATGCACTCTGGAAAGGAGGGCAATGACACAATGTGACTTCAAGTTACGCGCGCTAGCCGATACTTGTGCCCTCCAGATGGTTTGCGACGCATGAGCCTGTAGTTGGAAAAAAAGAAGAACGTGGAAGAAGAGGCAGAATTGAATCCTCGAGACAACTAGGAGATTTCATTCTAGCTGTGTTATTATTCTCGGGCACAAGTTCGCCCTGCTTACGTTAGCTTATTAAATGTGTTCATTGAACCGTGCATACCGTGCATTACAATGTTATCTTGGCTCTGTAATCAGCTTCTTACCAGAGATAGCTATTGGGGTGTGGATTTGAATACGATCTTCTACTTTTCAGTGGTTTCAGTTTTAGTTTAAATTGTATATGTATGCACTGGCTGCTCCTGGCTTTATACTGGCTTCGTTGTGCAGATATAGAAAAAAAATCGTATATATCAATCATAGGAATGATGTTAATAAATGTCGGAGTGTCTTCATGAGGTACTAAGACCCACAGATACTGTGCGATAAGGTTCACACACTGCCCCGCCGTGGTGGTCTAGTGACTAAGGTACTCGGCTGCTGACCCGCAGGGCGGGTTCGAATCCCGGCTGCGGCGGCTGCATTTCCGATGGAGGCGGAAATGTTGTAGGCCCGTGTGCTAAGATTTGGGTGCACGTTAAAGAACCCCAGGTGGTCTAAATTTCCGGAGCCCTCCACTACGGCGTCTCTCATAATCATATAGTGGTTTTGGGACGTTAAACCCCACATATCAATCAATCAATCATCAAGGTTCACACACTCTTAATATTCATATCGTGTCAAGATGTTGTCACTACGAAAAGAATTAGGTCTGTCAACTCTTAATACTCGTCACTGTGTATTATAGAATCATGTACCCTTATTATCCATGTCATGTTTAATAATGCTTATTCACATGCTACTTCTAACCAATGCATAATGAACATACGTAAGCCCAACCCTTAAATAAAGCCTATGTTGGGCTTTTAAGGTAATAAAATGAAATGTACCGCATTTACTCGAAAATAGGTCGGGCACGAATATAGATCGATCGCTACTAATAGTGTTTTATGATTTAAAAAAATCAAATATAGGTCGGCCCATGTTTTTTTTCTTTTTTTTCCAATTCAGAAACACAAAAGTTGAAACATACCACACCTTTTTTTACATAGCTTAGCGCTCTAATTGCTGCCGGGGCTGTCATCTTGTCAGATGTGCAAAATATTCTCGTCACCCTATGCTTCGCAAGCACTGGCGACTTCCTAAACGACGTCGTCCTCACTGTCACTGCTGCCGATTGCTAGGCCGCGAAAAGCATGACGTCATTCATTGCACATAAACACGGCAGAACGGCTAGATTTCACAGGTTATTTGAAAAGGCGGTACGTGACTATTGCATAAATAACCTTTTTATCTCAATTACTCAGGTAGTCGGAAAGGAGCGGGGGAACCACTTGAAGAACAGTGGGCGTGGCAGTTGAACGCCATAGAGAACCGAAGCTCAAGTTTGCAGTGCGACGACAACGCCGCGCCTGGCCCTGGCAGCGAGCTTCAGAATACTTGAGGAGAGACGCAGGAGAGGTCGCAGGCGAGTCAGTGTATTTCGCCGAAACGGGAGCGCGTGCAACGCATGCGCAACGTGTTCTGCAGCATGAGGGTGTTGTCTGCAGTCACTGCGGAGAACTTCGGCGCCGTGCCACAGCTTGGCGCGCTAAAACGAGACGCTTGCTGTGCGAAGTTGCCTTTCCGCGATGCGATGGAAGAAGTAGCCCCACGGAAGCGTCGGCGAAGTCCGAAGTATTGTTGTATTGTGGGCTGTCACAACAATTCAGACAACACCAAGGAACGCTCTCCACGTGTAAAGCTGTATCAGTTTCCCAGCAAGTCACAGCCGGCAAACACAGCCGCGTTAGCGAAAGGTAGAGCAAGCATCACACGAGGGCCGAAAAAAACCAAAAAAAATGAGGTGATCACTTCAGCTTGCTGCTTCGTGGCGACGTCAGCAGGTGATGCACCCACGGCCAAGAGGACATGACTCTAAAACTTCTTGGACATTTTAATGCCATCACCGTGTACTCTAGTAATTTTTTTACTACGCTGCAAACGTCTGCACATGACAGTACACGGCTGCTACTGCTAGATACCACATCAAAACAACAATTATATGGTTTCCATAAACGTCAGCATAGCACATCGATAAAGTACGTGGCTTCATGTCAGCAGAATGAAATTTACCTCGAGGCATACCTCGTACACGGTATTATCATGGAGGACCCAAGAAATGCATTTCGCAGTGACTCATCTCGTCACTGTCGTCTGCTTCACATCATAAACTTGACTAACAAGCTTTACAACTTTTGTTCAATTTGCTCTTCGGAAGTGCTTGTCCAGCTCAGAAATCTTTGTGAAGCCGCATTGCAGGCAGTACATTCTGAGGTGACTTAAACGCAGCGCGCGCTCTTTGCACGAGCACGTAAGCGAGTGACAGCGCTTTGGTGGAAAGGCAAAAGGCACCTATACAACCCTGATTTCTACTTTTCTACCAAAGATGGCGCTGCCTGTCCAGAGTCGCAGTGTCAAAATGCATTATTTTGGCTTCCTATAAGCTGGGCACTTTTGGATGGTTTGATCATGGATATAAGTCGAGATTCTTTGGTCTCGAATATAGGTTGATAGCGGATTATCAACAACATTTGCGGAAAAAAAGGTTGACCTGTATTCGAATAAATATGGTAGGTACATAGCCATCATACTGCCGTTTGTATGTGCAGTGCAGTTCAGCAGCCTCAATCTTCTGCCATCCTGATGCTTTAGTAACGTGCTTTCCTAGATTCACTTATCAGTTTTATCGACTTTCATGAGCTTTGATGTGCATCAATTTTGATTGCAGCGCAAGCAACAGAAATACTTCCATTCTTCGTGTCCCCAAGTGTCCTCTACCACCCAGGTGGCCACTTTCTACCAACAGGTAGCGAATGCAAGGTGGAATACATCACCTTCTTCAAGAAGATGGCTTCTTCTCATAATGGTGCTACAGTATAAAACTGATAGTCTTGCTAATGTCTACACTGTGTCACTTTCTTTCAGTTGCTTTGTGTAATTCACTTCCATAATGAGGTAGGCTGGAAACACTGAAGAAAGAAATAGTAGAGCTTGCACAAAGCCGCAGAAGGCTGGGTTACAGCAGAGTTGCTAGACAAGCAGCAGAAGAGGACAAAGATAAAGCTAACGAAGAGAGCACAGGCTGGCTCACGAAGATGATTGTTTTTTTTTATGCCACAGCAAACTATATTTCGGCATCGCACCTTCCATCTTTTTTTGTCATTTTCGATTTCTCTGTTGTTGTTTTTTCATCCTCCTTTTTCTCCTTCTAACCCTTGCATCTCTTCTTTGCACCCCCACTTCCCTTTTCCACCAGCTGGCTGTGCTGTGCTGTACAAGGCCATCCTCTGCTCTGCCAGCAAGCCTGGATAGCATAGTAACTGCACAGGGTTGCTCAGGCCAAGGTGTTCTTAAATGCGTGAAAAAAAATTGACAGATTCCACATACAGTGGGAATTCATAATATGCGAAGCAGGAATGAGAAAGGTTGATATGTCACATCAGCACAGCATTACGAAATGGAGGTAAATTATGCCGTACATGACTTCCGTGTCATGATTATTATGTTTGGATGTATCATTTACCTTCGTCATCTATTGACGTCACGTGATACCAAACTTAGTATATGTGGACATTGCGAAATGGCCGCGAGCACGCTATGAGCGTGGTATGTTGTCATGTTCTTACATGACACGCCTGTCAGAATTATCATGTTTGCACCAGTCATATACCTTCGTCATTCATTGACGTCACATAACACCAAACTTGGTATATGTGGAGCTAGCAAAACGGCCGCGAGCGCATCATGAGTGTGGCATGTAGTCATGTTGTTACATGACACGCATGTCGTGATTATCATGTTTCAATGCGTCATTTACCGATGTCGTCCGTTCGCGTCACGTAATACCGAATTTGGTGCATGTGAAGCTAGCGAAACGGCCGCGAGCGCATCATAAGCATAGCATGTAGTCATTTTGTTACATGACATGCATCTCAAGTTTATCATGCTTGCACCAGTCCTATACCTTCGTCATTCATTCACGTCCCGTAATACCAAATTTGGTATAAGTGAAGCCAGCGGAACGACCACCAGGGCATCATGAGCATGGCATGTAATAATGTTGTTACATGACAGGCATCTCATGGTTATCATGTTTGCACCAGCCACATACCTTCGTCATTTATTCCCGTAATATCTAGTTCGGTATATGTGACGCTAGCGAAACAGCCGCGAGGGCGTCGTGGGCGTGGCATGTAGTCACGCAGGTCATCATTTTTATGTAAGGGTCTGTCGCTTGTGTTCGCCATGCAATCATGTCATAGCATACCAGTTTTGCAGCATGTTATGCGAACGAAACCACTGCAAGAGCAGCAGGACCATGAAATGCAAATCACTACATTCGTCACATTACATGTCATGATTTTCATGGTATGACTAGTCAAATGTGGTCATCCTACAGTCATGTTATGCCGTACCAAGTTTGGTATTGATCCATTATCGAAACGGCCAGGAGTGCTGAAAGTCGTAGATAGATGGATGGATGGATGGATGGATGGATGGATGGATGGATGGATGGATGGATGGATGGATGGACGGACGGACGGACGGACGGACGGACGGGCGGGCGGGCGGGCGGGCGGGCGGGCGGGCGGGCGGGACCTTGGGCATTTGTCTTAGTTGCGCAGAAAGCAACTAAAGCACTGCTACTTTACCTTAAGTCAACAAACCTGAGCGACCGCCTGTAAACTGTGTGTGCTCCCCGAGTGTGCTCGTGATTGTGTGTACCTTCTCATCTTTCTGCAACCTCTTTTCTCCCCTTTATCCCTTCCCCAGTGCAGGGTAGCAAACCGGATGTGCGTCTGGTTAACCTCCCTGCCTTTCCTTGTATCTTTATCTCTCTCTCTTGTATACCTAGAACACACGGATAAGGTCAACCTTAACTGCTCTGCTGTAAAACCTGCCACTGACGCATTATCGGATGCAATAGAAAAATGCAGCTATGTGTCAACCAAAGAACGCTCGAAAGCGCTTGAGTAGTTGCGTGAGCGAGATTCTATTTTATATTTGGCGTGTTTTGAGGGTTTATGGTTTTTTAGGAGGAAAAAAAAACAACCAAGCTGATTTCAGCACAAAATAAATGTTTGATTCTATGGTTAGTTGATGCGGACAAATTAAAGCTAATATTTTATTATTCATGCAATAATTAACACTGGGAAGTTAAAGTTAACACTCAGTAATAAAAAAAGTACAGGTTGTAAGTACGGATGACTCCAATAGTATACAGCAGTTAACGCTTTCCCGGAGTGTATGGTTTCCTTTCGAATCTTGGTTTGGGTTAGCTGGGACACCCAGTATAGGCACCATATCCCTGCTGCAATTCACCCGCTCATGCAGGGAGGGAAACTCGTACATCGCGTTCTATTTTCACTGACCCCGTCGCACCATTGCGTTTTTTGTCTGTTAGGCATCGCGTTCTGAGAGGTGGCGTAGGGCGGAGCAGTCGGGGGTCTTTGAGCTCCCGCCTCAGCAAAAAATTTTTGAGGTTTTTCGTGTGCTGTACCTCAGGATCTTGCTACGAGTCGACGCATAAGCTGCCAAGATTCACGTCGGTATCGCACTTTAACCGGTAGGTCCATTTTTGAGCATTTTTCAGGCTTTTACGCCACCGACTACGCCTCGCGTGCTCAGCAACTGGGGTGTACAGCCGTGACTCATCGCAACGGGCAAGCAGCTGGTCCAGATCCAGATCTCGGTCCAGAAGTCGCTCCCGAGGTCAACAAAATGGAACCTCGTCTACAGGCCGATCGTCGTCAGTCCCAATCTAGAGGCCCATCGCACTCGAGAAGCCGGTCCAGGGACCCGCATGGAACAGTCCGTTTCCAAAGCCCACCCGAACCAGAGATTCAGGGTGGCACCTGGGTTGACCACGTGTGCAGCGGAAGAGGTGGAAAGGCAACGGGGGACACTGCGCCAGAACATGGTCTAGCGGAGCTAAATCAGCTTAAGAAGGAGAATGCCGAAATGCGCAGCATTATTGAGTCGCTCAGAGCCGAAATAGCTGAGCTTAGACGTGCCAGTACATCTCAAGCTACTCGGGCATCTGCTTCTCAGTCGGTAGGTTCTCCCTCTCATCAACCTACGGACGTTCCCATGGTCGTGGAAGCAGGCCCCTCGGGCAACCCAGCCAAGCGTAAGACTGCGACTTCGGCCGGCAATGTGCAGGCTAAGACCAAATTTGAAATTAAGCAGACCTTAAATTCAATTTGCCTAGTAATTCGAAGACTTAATGAGCGTTTTTCGGTGGTATATCAACGTCTCAACTGTTATGGATCAGAAAAGAGATATTCAACATGCCAGAATTGAATCTGTGGAGATTCAATTGCAGAACACCGGTTTTATGGGGCAGAGCCCCAATATCAAGGGAGCAACTAGGATTCACCTGGACTTCTTTCCAGAGGGAACGCCTTTATCGGCACCCATTCCCATGAGTATCCCCAGTTCGATTGGCACAGCTGCTTCTGTACAGAACCTGACGGTAGGATCAGGGAGCACCTCCAATGATCAAGATGGCCTCGCACGCTGAATTTCGTATTCGGCAATGGAACTGCGGGGGAATGCTTAGCAAAAGGGGCACCCTGCAGCAATTTGTCCGCTCTCACAGCGAGAAGCCGCAAGTGGTCCTACTGCACGAGACGCTGTCTGATAAGTAACCCTCCCGGAGTACAAAAAGGCACATTCAGTTAAAGGGGAAGGCAGAGAGATTGCCACGTTAGTCAGCAAGAAGTTCACCTTTGTGACACATCATCTAGGGTTAAGGCCTAAAAAATAGAGCTCTCCTTGTTTGAGGTCATTCCGAAGGCTTCCAACCTCTGCAGTATTTTTATACTGAATATATATAGTAGTCCTAGTGATCATAGGCAGCGTTTTAAGACAATCATAGCTAAGGCAACCAGACTGTCTGGGCTCTACCCTCTGGTTGTGGCGGGGTATTTTAACGCGCCTTTCTGGGTGCGGAACTACCCGTGTGGTTTTGTTAAAGCCAGAAGCTTGTGGCAGGAGACGGGAGATGCGGATTTCTCGTTAATAACGGAGCCGGCTTTTCCTACTAGACGCGGCAGCACGTACCACCAGGGACTCCACCCCGAACCTAGTTTTCGTGAAAAATGCTGGCTCGGTAGGTTGGGAAAATGTTCAGTCGGATTTAGGAAGTTATTATTATATTGCAGTTACTAAATTGCAGATGGAGCCAAAATCTAAAAGAAAGTTTACTCACGTCGGTTGGGATAAATTTCGGGAGTCACGCAGGGCTCGAGCGGAACAGGGGAAATACCGGACTCTCTGGTGCTATGAACGGAGATGCTGCTGCAGGACGTTCGGGTGGTTACCAGGATCACTGAGACAGAGGTACAGACCAAAAAAATGGACAGTTGGCTTGCGCATGTACTGGAGGCAAAGCAGTCGCTATTGGTCAGATGGAAGGGCCAGAGACTTAATCGTAAGCTTCAGAAAAAGATTGCGGAGTTAAATACACAAATTGAAGAACAATGCCAAAACTTTTCGAGGCAGCAGTAGGATTAAATTTTGTAACTCATTCTATGGATAAATGTGAACCAGAGGTAAATGAAATCTTTTAAAACACCTGCTTGACGAGTCGGGCACTAAGTCTAATCAGAGGGGGGTCCTCGCTAGAAAACTTCATATTCCTTAAAGATCCTCTTTGGGCGCGGAGCTATTGCGGCAGCTTGCTAAGAAGTATCTACCGCTTGCAGTCTATTCCAACATGCAAGCCTATCCGGGGTATATGGGTACACCTTGTGCCTATTTGGATGAACCCTTTGCCATCACCGATGTGCGACGTGCCCTGCACGACCTCAATGGCCGATCGACACCGGGTCCGGATAGGGTCGCCAACAATGCGCTTCGGAACTTGGAAGAAGACTGTTGAATTTCTTACTGATAAGA